CAAGTTCCATGGAAATCCTGATGGAAACTTTTGGCTCCTTTAGTGAGGAGGTGATAGGCTATTAAAAAATCTCCATGGGTGAGGTGGAGATAGCGAAGCTTCACTCTTTACGAAAGGCGTCCTCGACCGAAAACGAGGATGATGTTGTTTTGGAGGCTTGCATTCCCGGTGAACGGGTCTGTATTTCCCGACCAAATGGAGTAAAAAAATTCTTTTATTTTTATGTCGGATGTTAAAGGACATGCTTATCCACATCCCCTTCACTGACTTTGAGGTAGACGTGTTGAAGACAGTGAACAAGGCCCCCTCTCAACTTTGCCCTAACAGTTGGGGCTTTATTAAAGCTTTTGAGATGGTCTGTACAACGTTGGATGTGACTCGAACCATTGGTTTATTTTTCTATTTCTTTGAAATTAAAAATATAGAATCTGGAAGCTGGGTTTCCATTAGTGGTGTACCCGTAAGAGCTTTCTTCAAGCCTATACCACCAACTACAAAGGCTTCAAAGACCAGTTCCTTCGAGTTAGGTGTGGACTATGGTGCCCTCAAGTCATCTACGCCACTGATGGTCATCTGAAGTTTCCTTTATACTGGACTAGAAACCCATTACCCATATCCAGGTTTAATCATGACAAATTGAGTGACACTGAGACCCAATCTCTGCAAGTGTTAGACTCCTTCCTCTTATTCAAGGTCAAGGACCTGTTACCTTTGCATGACAAGGAGGCTCTGGCCTTTCTGGGTAAGGCTCCTTTTATTTCGTCATTTCTTATGGATCTTTTAGTCCTTTCTTACATGTTCCTTTTTGATGTTTTTGCAGATAACATGACTGACTTTCTGTCAAAGAACAAAAGAAATTGATGGCTATTTCTTGTGCTACCCGAAAAGGGACTGAAGGGCCTTTAGAGTCCAAGTCCGACTTTAGTGGTTTGGAACTTAGAGTGGTGAAGAAGAGGAAAGGAACCAGCCCAATAGCGGGAACCATCATTGGCGAGCCCCAGTCACTGGCCAAAAACGTCATGTCTGTTGAAGAAACTTCTCAAAAATCTCCAAAAAATCTGAAGACTATGATGACGGATGAGGTTTGGCGGGAAGACTGGGAGGTCTCAGTGTTAATGCATGAACCTGGCGACGAATCCGTTCTTGCCTCTAGTGAGAACAAGTTCTGGTCCAACAACTTTGATAGGATGAAGTTCCTCTATGACCAGCTAAATTCCACCAAAGATGTCAATAAGTTAAAGAGCATTGGGCGTTAAAAGCTTTCTCAGAACCTAAGTTCTTATCTGATGTGGTGCGTTATGCTGGCTCGTGGTCTATTTGAATCTTGCGATGACTTGGAGGAAAGGTGTACCAGTCTTAAGAAGGAGGTTAAACAACTGACAGAGAGCGAGAAGTATTATGTTGTCAAATGTTCAGCTTTGGAAAAGAGTATATCTGAAGAAACCCTTAAGAATAAGTCTCTGTCCAAGGAAAATGAAGATCTTAAGACCTCCAGGACCAAACTTACCGATGAGCTAAATGCTGAAAAGAAGTCTTGTGCTGACTTAAAACAATATTTGGAGAAGTCTCAGATGGATATCCTTGATGTCGGAGATATGGCTTTCGATCGGGCAAAGGATCAGGTGTTGTGCCTCTATCCAGAATTAGATATCTCCTCCATAGACTTCTTCAAGAATATTGTGGATGGTAAGTTGGTGAACGTGGAAGCAGATGATGACGGGTCCCCGAACACAGGTGAGCCAGATGTCAATGACACCTCCCATGCCAATGTGACCAAGTGATTTAGTCTTTTCCTTATTTTTCTGAACAATTTGTTGTTAGTCACCCTTTTTAGGTGGGTGCTTTTTGTAATGATTTTAAATATTTTGCCTGTTTAGATAATTGCCCCATGGGCCTTATTGTTAATCATACTTTTGCTTTTGTTTTTGCAATTTCCGTTCATCCCAATTTTATTTGTATGCACATATGCATGTAAGAGGATTATGGATATATGGTAGCCCCATTGTCACGTGGATTTGACAAAAATCATATTGATTAGTTTTGAAAAAGGCCTTAATCCTCTTTGATATGCCTAACGTTGCTTGATAATAGGTCAGCCGCTTTGTGAAGATAATTTTATCCAAACTCTACCCTTTTTAGGATTTTTAACTCTGATTTGAGTAATCATTGTGAGGCATAAGAATTCCTTTTAAGCATTTATTTTGCTTTAATTTTTTAAGGCATTACCCAGAACTTCTGATTTAAATAGCTGCATAGGCTCGTAGAAGCCTGGAAACATTCTTTAGGCATCAAATTTTCCATGTAGAAATACTATCGTGTAGGCGCTAGCCCCAAGTACCTGGCTAGGTCAAAACATACAGGCTATAAAGTTGACCCTAGTCGGCTCAGGGGTACAACTTTTATGTGTGCTTGGTTAAAGTAAACAACCTGGAAGATTACACCTGAGGCAACTCAAGTTTGAACCGAGGTGTAGTGTTCAGAAGGTTACACTTGAGGCGGATCAAGATATGAACTGAGGTGCCTAACCCAGAAAGGTTACACCTGAGGTGGCTCAAGTTTGAACCGAGTGCAGAGCATACAAAGGTTACACCTGAGGCGACTCAAATTTGAACCGAGGTGCAGATCCTAGAAAGGTTTTTGCTCGGGAGTTTACCAATTGGCAAGGATTTACCACAATGGGAGTCAACCTCTATTTTTGCTCGGAGTGACCACGATGGGAGTTACCACTTAGAAAGGAGTTAACCTGGAAGGTTGCCCTTAGGCGGCTCAAGACTTGAACTGAGGTGCAGATCCTTCGAGAATGCCCTCAAGCAGACTCTGGCGGGATCCTATTAAGGTACATCACCTAGAAGGTTGCACCTGAGGTGGCCCAAGTTGGAACCTGAGGTGCAGAGCCCGTAAATATTACACATGAGGCGGCCCAAGTTGGAAACGAGGTGAAAAGACTGAAAATGTTACACCTGAGGCGGCCCAAGTTGGAACTGAGGTGTAGAGCCCAAAAAGATTACACCTGAGGCAGCCCAATTTGGAATCGAGGTGTAAAGGCTGGAAAGGTTACACCTGAGGCGACTTAAATTGGAACCGAGGTGCAGAGCCCGGAAAGATTACACATGAGGCGGCCCAAGTTGGAATCGAGGTGAAAAGTCTGAAAGGTTACACCCGAGATGGCTCAAATTTGAACTGGGGTGGAGAGCCTTCGAAGGTGAACCCTGGATAACAATTTCATTTTTTTCATGATACTTTTTATGGGTTTCCTCGTTAAAGACTCTAGCCCTTTCCAGGGAAAAGAGTGCACCCGTTTTATTCATTACATGAACTTACATAATTTTAGCTGAAATAAAATCTTAAGACTAGATACATGCCAAGTTCTAGGAATTTCTATGCCATATAATGTCTCTAGCTTGTAAGCCCCATTGCTAAGTTTCTCAATTACTTGGAAAGGTCCCTCCTGTTATACCCTAATTTGTTCCCCTAAGATCTCTCATCATCTTACATAATCAATACATCAAGATCACACATTAAGGTTATTTCTCCTCTTCTATTGTTTCCCATCTTTAAGTTCACTCTTGAGGGATCACCAAGCACCTTGAATCGCGTATCTTGTATATATGTGTTTTATATTTTACTGACCTCTAACCAAAATCCAAAAATATGTCTTGTTTATTTTGTTTATAGTAAGACAGGGTTTCCGATCAAGAAATTCAGGTGATGGTTCTCCAATTAGGGTTGTGGTTTGTTCAGACCAAAGATGGTTCCGAAAAACCTATGTTTCAGAGTGGTGATCTATAATCTTAGGTCACGTTATTCTCAAGCTTCATTCAACATAGTTAAGGCGAGTTTGGTTGCTTAATTCTCGAAATTCTTTGAGATAGGTTCATGTATTTATTTACATGGCTTCTTTGACGAATAATCTAAAGTCCAGACAGATGTGAACATGGCTTAATCAAGACTTCATTATTTCAAGTCCATGTGTGATTAAGAGTGCTTCGGGTTGTGAAGAAAGACAAAGTCTACAGTTAATTCAAAGTTGGTTGACTGAAAGTCAATGTTTACAAGTTTGAGTTCAAATAATCATAACTTCTTCATTATTCAGTATTTTTGGTTGATTCTTCGAGCATCTGATATCCTTGACATCATCTCCAACTTCTCGTTACAAGTAGAGTTAATTATGTGAATAGGACCATCAAAAGTTTGAATATATTAGAGGTCGTCTTTGACTTTGACTTAATTTCAATTGATTTTTGTCCAACTTTCAAGGATCATAACTCTTTTTAATTTTCATGGTTTTGAAACGATTCTCTTTGCGTCGTATCACAAATGGCGTTATCTAAAAGATTGCTTCAAGAATCAAGTTCAAATTGTGCCGTGGAAGTTAGTGAAACGTTTTAGGTCATTTTTTGACTTATAATGGTCTTAACCTCTAATTTTCAATTCATGCTACCAATTTTCTAATGCCATGACATTTTCTCCAGAGTTATTTTTTGTGTTGAATTTCTTCATCATCAAGACAAGAGTCATGTTACAAGATTATTGAGTTTGAGGGGGTCATTGGCCATTATGTTAAAGTTTAAAGATTTAAAAAATTCATGGATGCAAATTTATTCAAAAGTTTCAAGAAGGAGTTAAAATTTAAATGGAAGGAATTATGGTTTTCATAAGCTTAGATATTATAAGACATCATGTAATATATGGCATGATTATTAGATATTCAAGACTTTAATATCCTTTCTCATTGGAATCAAATCTCTTAACATTTATTAAAGAACATCCAAAGGATTTTCAAGTCATATGATTCTTTCTCTTATTCAAAATTCAAGGAGAGTTTAAAATTGCAAGCTTACAAGTGAAGGCAATTTAAGAGACAAGAGAACAATTCAAGAAGAATGTGAATTCTAAAATTTCAAATTACTTCACCAATTCTTGCAAGGATTCAACGTTACAAGAAATCTCAAGCCTTTCTAAACCTAAGCTTTAAGCTTTTACATCATTTCTTCAAGGCTTCATTCCAATTTCTTAAAGACTTCATTTGAAATGGTTCTTCTCCAACATTCACCATGCCAAGAAAACAAGAAAATAAAAAGGATGAAATTAGTAATTCATTCAAAGACAACAAGGACAAGTCCAAAAATTCAACAATTATCCAAGTTCTCATTCCAAACAGAGTTCATCCAAAAATCTCTCAATAACAATTTCAACAAGTTCATCAAAAACAAGGGGGGTTAAGAATTAATCTCATGGTACGTAATTCAAGCATAAGGCCCAAGGTTAATTTCAATTAGTCTCACAAACTAAAATACAAAAAACAGTGATTATTGGACAAATTTGAAGGGAGATTTTCGTTGGGCAGTTGAGAGGCATTTTCTAACACTTCATTTTTCATAAATTTCCAACCCAATCCAGAAAAATACTTTATCCACAAAAGACCCTAATCTACTATTTAAGCACTGATTTTAGACTGGTTAAATGACTATTGATTCACTGACAAAACTCAGAAAAGAACCAAAAATCATAAGAAAAAAAAGATATACTCACCTGACTGACCGGAGCACCACCTCACCTGACTCTGTTCGCTGGAACCACACCCTTTCCGCCTGAGACAGTCGTCGTCCTCCCTAAGTCGCCGCCGGAAAATCGCTCCTCTCACCAGAATTCAAAGTTATCCACACTTTCATACACCATAGAAGGTTTCTTATCCTTCTTCTTAAACCGAATTCACCTTCCTTTCCTTATTTCTGTGTTAATTTGTTGTTATATGGACTCTTTTTTTCAAAACTTTGTTTATAGATCTACTCCATTTGATTGTTTTTTTTGAAAAAATATTTTTGGATTTAGAATCAGAAGAGGAAATCGAATAAGAAACTGTAAAAAAATATAAATAAATAAAAAATAAATAAGTTGTCGTTCGCGGTGGCGCCACTGAGCTCCGGCCGGCCACCACTGCGAACTGTTACCGCCGGTCGGCCCTTTTCTTTTCGCTCCACCTCTGTTCCTTTCTTTTTTTCATTTTGTTTTTATGAGAAGAAGATAGAATAATAGTACTAATATTGAGATAATAAGATGATGGTTTTGATTTTGGGAGAGAAAATCTTTAATATATGAATGAATGTTGTTGTTGTTGGTTTCACGTGAAGACAAAGGGAGGAAGTATTATTTTATTTGAAAATGAAAATTAATGTTTATGCTATTCTCAATGTGACAACATTTTTTTGCTGCAATTTTTGTTTTGTTTTTTCTTTACCCCTCCACCTCGAGATCCGTGCCGATGATCGAAGTGGTGACAAGTGGCCAGCGGCGTCACTTGTCACTGTTTGAGAAGATGATGTTGGTAATTGATTTTATACATGCATCCCTACAGTACTATTATAGATCTATAAATTCGAACCTCTTGATGACATTACTGCACAAGGTTTTACGAGATCTAATCACTACAGATTTTATGTTTTAATTTCTTTTTACTATTTCAATTTTAATTCGTTTCTAACTTCTACAATTCAGTTTATATTCAATTTTTGTCCGAAAATTCTGAAAAGAAATTTATAAAAATCATTTTCTTTATTCTTGACTTTCTAGAATTTTTATGAAATTTTATTTTAATTTTTATTAGTTTTAATCATTTTTCACTTACTTGCATGATTTTAAATAGTTTAAAATACTTTTCTGTTTTAAAAAAAATTATCAAAAATTTTGTAAAAATAATTGAGATCATTTCTGACTTTTCTATGGTCTCTTTTTATTTTTATTTGATACTTTGAATATAGTTTTCTATTTTTTCTTTTATTTTTATCTTAAAAACAATTTAAGAAATCATTTTTTCATTCTATTTTGCTTATTAAATGCAATTTTATTTTTGTATATATTCTGAATGATCTTGAACTATGAGAATTTTAATCATAAGCTTCATTAACATCATTGGATCTGTGTTGAGTTGAACTCCACCAAAATAGATGAATGATTTTAATAATAGATTGATTAATTCTTTGGTTCAAATATGTGATTTAACTTTTGACTTTTCTTGTGCTACAAGTTTCATGAGTGTGGTTTCTACAACATCTCTAACTTGTATAGTACTTACATTACTATTGACCGATCTCAAAATAGGTGTGGCTTTTACATAAGTTCACTTACGATTGTTTAACATAATGCTAAATTTGTCCCGATTCGAGAAATAATTATTTGTGGCCCAAACCTATGTTTGCAAGCCCAAGTATGTTTAATTTGAAAACTTTGATCCAATAACTTTGGAGTTCATTATTAGGAGGCTTTAGTCTTATCAATTCTTTAATGAACATTCATAAATTTTTGTCTAAGTGAATCATTTAAACATCGTTGATCATATGTTATCGCCTCGAGCATTTGAAATGAATGATATACTTGATAAAAAGCAAATGAAACTTGTTGTTGAGAAGCTTTGATTTTATCAATCTTCTAATGAGTTTCCAAATGCATGTTTCAAGATGGTCATTCAACTAACTTCTAACTTCTAACTTCTAATTCACTAACAATTGACTTTTACTTTATACTTTTACTTTATACTTTTACTTTATACTTTTACTTTATACTTTTACTTTATGCCTTTAATTTTACGCATCATTTATTTCAGCATTTACATTCCATGTTATTTTATCTTTGTTCACTTGAGCACTTATCTTTATGTCATTTTTACTTTTCTCACTTGAGCTTTCATTTTATTTTTGAAGATACTTAATAATCAACTTGAACATTAAAAAACCTTAAGGTTACTCTGACTATTTGGTTATTATCTTTGGCATTATGGAGTTGTGGATTTCTTGGACTTAGGATTAGAAGTCTTGATACCCTTGAAATATTGTGATTTTGTTGATATTTTGTCTGGAGTTCTTGGGGTTTACCCCAAGACATTGGGTTGATTTTCTTTGTGTGCATGTTATTCTAATTATGTGCTTTATATGTGATTGAGAATTCCTCTATATACAACTGTTACTCTGCCCAATTTTTGAGAAGACTTAATACATCTGGAGTTTGGTATTCTTGAGAGGTTTAGTATCTTTGCTTGCTTGGTTTCAATCGAAAGGAGGAAAATTCTACATTGACTCTTTGTGTCAAATATTGACTTCTTGTTGGTTAGACGGTTCTTTTCCCTAGCTTTTACCTTATTCTTTAGGATAGTCTCTTCATCGCCTCCCATCTTCTTTAATTTCAAAAATCTTCTCTCTCCTTTTCAAAAACTCTTCTTGTTTACTAACTTGAAACGATTTCACAATAAACTTGGATTTAGGTTCATGCATTTTTCAAAAATATTTTCTTAATTAAACTTTAACCAACTTAATCATACTTTGACATTTTTTTTGTGAGAAGACTAAAAGTCAATCAACCTCATTCAAATTATTTTTCCACTTTGGCTTTTTACTCTAAAATTTTCTCAAAAGATTATACTCTTGTCAATCCTTGTAGTGATGCAAACTACTATACTTCTATGATATGTAGTGAAGTGAGATATTTTCCACTTGGATGTTGAGCGATACTTTTGTTTATTTTAAAATCCAAGTTATATCCTCCATTTTGAGATGATGCAAATTCTAATTTCTCATAATCGTAGGTAATAAGTATGTCTTTCACTCGAATATGATGATTATGTCTCTTCTCTTAAAACTAACCAACACATTTGTGTTTTAAATTTTTTTTAAAGGTGAACTACGAGTACCCTGATCCCTTATTGCACAGAATGTGCTACATAGGCACTAAAGGTTCGCAACCGCGGCGGATACAAAAATTATAAAAAATATTTCTTTTCTCATCTCCACCATCTATTTTTGTACATAACACTTATAGCCAAAATACACAAATTTTCAAAGAGGTTCCTGCAGAGTACCGTAGATGTTTAGGGTGCTAATACATTCCCTTTGCATAACTAACCCTCGTACCTAGATTATCTCCCCATCTTTATTTGGGTTATTCTCTCTTTTCCCATTCCTATGGAAATAATAAAGCGCGATGACGATTTTTATTTTGATTTGTGCTAGTTAAGTCAATCCAATGGCTTAGTCTCAACATTTCTACTGCTACACCTCCCAGTTTGGTGAGAGTTTCCCCTTCTTCGTTGGATCTGTGACCTTCTTCAGACCTAGATCCCCTTTGTTTCACCTTCATATTGAATCGCCACACTATCCTTTGCTTAGCCGCTATCTCTCATATATGTGCAGTGTTTCCGATTTCACCAAGTAAATCAACTTCACTTTCCTGATGCTCATTATTGACATTTTCTTCAAAGCTTATTCTCCTCTCGGACGGAGTATTGACTTCCACCTGGATCATAGCGTCAGCCCATATACCATTCTGAACGGTGTTTCCTTGGTCGTGGAGTGAGAAGTGGTGTGACAAGACCATAATATCTGATGGAGGTACTCGGCCCATAGTCATTTTTCTTCATCTAACTTATTTTTCATCCCGGTTAGGATTACTTTATTAGCTGACTCTGCTTGTCCGTTCTCCTGAGGGTGTTCCACTGAAATGAAATGATTAGTGATTTTGAGCTCTCTACATAACTCTATTACGAATGTGCTAGCAAACTGGGTTCTGTTATCGAAACGATAACCTGGGGTAACCCAAATCTACAAATAATGTTCCTCCAGTAAAATTGTCTCACCCTTTCAGCTGTGATTCGGGCTATGACTTTTGCCTCCCCCCACTTTGTGAAGTAATCTATTGCCATGATTAAGAACTTGAGTTATCTTGGTGCCATTGGGAAAGGTCCTAGTATGTCTATTCCCCATTGATGAAAAAGCCATGGAGATACTACAAAATGGAGCAACTCGGTTGGGGTATGGATGAATGGTGAGTATATCTGACATTGGTCACACTGACTTAAAAACCGGACGCAATCTCTGAGCATAGTCGGCCAATAATACCCGACCCTCAATATTTTGTTGGATAAGGACTGGCCCCCGATGTGGCTCTCACATATGCCTTCGTGCACTTCTTTAATTACCATGTTCATGTCATCTTTTGAGACACAACACAACATAGGGGTTGATCTACCCATTTTGTATAGCTTACCTGCCAACATAAGATATCTTGTTGAGATCTTCTTCACACGTTTTACCTCTTCTTTGTCATATGGAAATTCCCCCTGTAACAAATATCTAATTATGGGGGCCATCCACCCCCACCTTATCCTCTATAGAGAGTACTTATCCTTTCTCTATACTTGGTAATTCTAATGTCTCTTAAATCACCAGTTTGTTCAGACCTAAACCTCTTGTGCTAGCCAGCCGGGCTAACAGATCGGCTCAGGTATTTTCTTCTCTAGGTACGTGTCATATTGTAAACTCCTGGAACTCCTTTGACAGTTGCATAGCTTGGTTCAGATATTTCAGCAAAATGGGATCTTTGGTCTGGAACTCTTCCCCAACCTGCCCGGCCACTAACTGTGAATCGGTCTGAACAAGCAGGTGGGTAATCCCGAACTCTTTAGCTAGTTTCATTATGGAAATCAAGGTTCATATTCAGCTTGGTTGTTTCTATTTTGGAAATTAAAGCACAATGAATATCCTAGGACCAATTCACCCGGTCCTTCTAACATAATACCAGCCCCACTGCCCCTCAGATTGGATGATCCATCCACAGACATAACCTATTTTGTAGACGCCTCTTCATTCATTGGAGCACTCAGTTCTACCACAATGTCGACCAACACCTGAGACTTTACGCTAATGCGTGGGGTGATCTCTATGTCATATTCTGAGAGTTCCACAGCCCATGCCACCATCCGCCATGCTAGGTCCTACTTCTTCAAAATTTGCTTTATTAGGAATTTTGTTTTCACCAGGATAGGATGACCCTGGAAATTGTCCCTCAATTTTCTTGTTGTTACCACCAACGCCAAAACTAGTTGCTCAATCTTCTGGTATCTAAGATTTTCCCCTTGCAGTACCTTGTTGACGAAATAAATTGACCTCTTACCTGACTCCCCGACTTGGACCAGAATCTAGCTTATGGATTTATATGATACTACTAGATAAAGCACCAGGGATGTATTTTCCTTAGGTGGGACCAGTATAGGGGGAGCTGAAAAGAACTGCTTGACTTCCTAGAAAGCTCTTTCGCAGTTGTTGGTCCACTCAAAGCCAGCCTTCTTTTTAATCATTGCAAAGAAATGAACCGATTTGTCACCTGCACAAGATAGAAAACAAGATAAGGCGGCCAAGCGGCCGGTTAGTTGTTGGACTTCACGAATAGATGTCGGTCTCCCTTTTCCATGTTACTCTCTTCTCATATTACATAACACTCGGCCCGAGTGATTATCTCGTCCATGCTGGCAGCCAGCTTCTGGGCCAGTGACTCATTGAATTAGCCAGCCCGAAGACCGTGCTGGAAAGATGCCACAAATATCTCTTGATTAGGATGAGATACCTTTATGGTTTCCTCGTTGAACCATGCCATGTAATCCCTTAGGGATTCTGAATAGAGCTAACAAACATTAAACAACATTGTTATTGACACCTTTCGGTGCCGGCTTGCCGAGAACTGCTGAACCATCTTCTTAGTGAAGTCCTGGTAGCTGATAACAGAGTTCCTGGGAAGGCTCATGTACCACCTCAGAGCTTATTCCTTAAAGGTTCTGACCATAAGCTTGCACTTCAGCGAATCGTTATCCCCAATTATTGCCATCATATATTAACAACAATGAAGTGCTCATGGGGATCCGATTTGCTGTTGTATGTTGTAAATATCGAAGGTTTGAAATTCTCTAGAACCTGATCGTCCCAAATAGCCTGGGACAATGGCTGAGGCTCCAAAAGCACAAGCCTCTGGCCGCAATCGTCTTGGCTCTTCATCGCCTCGATCATGGCTAATAATTGTGTCATGCTTGGAGGGGGATCTTCATCAGAAGACATTGCTCAAAGGTGTTTGGATAATGCGGCCTGGGGAAGTTTTACCAGGACCCATGGTGGGCGCTAAATGTTCTTGCTAAACACTAAATGGGTGACTTCCCTGCTAGTTGAAGGATATGAGGGAGAGCCTTAAGCAAGTGGGAGTGAATCGTTTATGGTATTAAGGGATTTAAAGGTTTACACAAGTATGCGTGAGCTCCAAGCCATGTGTCTTTCTTATCTCTCAATTGGGAGCCCTATATATAGAGGTGCATAGACCTCATTGATCACTGCATATAACTGATGTAACTCTTCATCATACGTAACTGAGCTGCCATTAAGGCAAGAAACGTCTGCCATTTCAAATGATTGCTATTATCATAACGTGCACCATCATATATTGATGAGTAGTTACGCCCTTAATGGGTCGGTCACTCTGTAACAACCTCATCAAGTTCGGGCTCTATGTAACATTTGGATCTAGGGATAATGTCCGGGTATAAGCCTGGTTGGCGCCTCTTCATCTTTCTCTATGGCCGACCACATATGCCTCCGGCTATACACTTTGTTTCAAGCATAAAGATCTCAAACCGGGGTACTACCCGGCTAAGCACTTATTTGTCTTCCTAGACCTTTTATCCATATCTTTCCTTTTTATCTCTCCTAGCCCGGATAATGGATCTATGTATGAGCAATACATAAACCAAAAGTTGCAACATACATAAACCAAACATAATGACTCAAATTAAGAATGTACCCAAAATGACTAAACCAAATTCTAAACATAAACAAAATGACTAGATCACATCCGCCTCATCTTGACTTCTAAGTTCCACCACATTAATATCATCTTGCTCATCACTTGATTTAATTTCAAACTCTTCTTTTTCCACCATCAACTCATTATCTCCATTAGACACTAATGTAGCAAGTCTAGAGTGGATGCCAAGTAACTCATGTTGAAGGATGCTCACAAAAATCACAAACAATAGTTTTTTGCTTTGATCTTTTTAGGAGTTCCACAGTCAACCTATGTCAATATTGTCACCAATAGGTTTAAAAAACCTTTGTTGTTGGAAGTTTGTGTTAAACTTAAACTTGCAAAACATGATGATGGCATGGTTCCTAATGTATAGATATAAGAAAAACAAGGGAGGAGTAAATGTGAATGGAGGAGAAAAAGATGAATAGGTGAAGAGGAAAATGGAAATAGGGTTGAGAAAGATTGATGTTTATTGTAAAGAGAGAACATTGAACTTGTTGTGAAGAGAAGGAGAAAGAGAACGTAAATGAACTTGTTGTGAAAAGCACTTGCTGTAAAGAGAAAAAGTGGAAGCGTGATGTGAAAAAAGGGGAGAAAGAGAATGTGGTTGTTGATTTGAGTGAAGAGAGAGAATGTAAATGATCTAATGCCTCGCTTTTTTCCCTTTTATTAGTGAAACAAAAGGGAAAAATACAAATTTTCCCTGAAAAATTCAAAATCACAATATTGACCTCATCTTCACAATAGGGGTCTGTAAAGCACTACAAAACTCTATTGCACCGCTATTCCACCGCTACGCTTCCATAAATCGCGGCCGCTATTTACGCTATCGCATATAGCAGTTAGCAGCCTAAAAGCGTCGCGACAAGGTCCTTTACCGCTACGCTATACCGATATAGCGTGCTATTGACAACCTATATTCACACTTGTGCAATTTTTTTTGTTTTGAATTGATGATGATGAATTATATGAAATATAAGTTTGTTTTATTTGCAAAATTCAAATTCAAGCTCATTAACTCCTTTGTCAAATGGAAGGGTGATGATATAAATCGAACAAGGTTAAGGATTTTATGATGTTAAGATCAAACGTGTTGTCGATGTTACTTACAAAGGACTTTGAACTCGTAAAATTACTAAGTCTTTAATCTTTTGTGGTTCAGTTGACTGGTATATTTGATGTAGTGAAGGTCCTGTCGACCACCCTTTTTAAGATTCTATACATGTTTCCAAATGATCCTGATCTTGTGGATATGTTCCTGAGATTTCTTCATATTATATCTTTCTTCGTCGACGCCTTGATTGATACCCCTTCGACGCTTCATCATTAATGCATTTAAAACACTTCATTAATGTCTTCTAACAATGAATATCTTTTTATTTTGACATTCTTTCTTGATTTTCTTCTAACTGAAATACCAAGTGTAACACTCACATAATGTCATTGTTGTTGTTGTTGTTGTTGTTGTTGTTGTTGTTGTTTCCACCTCTTGTAAGACCATTGTTATATTTTGGAATAACTTTGTAATGTTGTCCGTCAAAGAAAATATTTTATAATTTATTACTTTCCTTCCTTAAAATATTGAAAAATTTATTCCTAGTCATTATGATAATATATTGCAAGCAATGTTGTTGTTTTACAAAACAAGATCTTGAAAATTTTGTTTTGAATATAGTCAGTTGTTTGAATATAACAACACGAAAAGATTGATGAATGGTAAAAAATTGAAAATGAAAATAATACATGTTAATTTCAAATCTTTTCCATTCACCATTTATTTTTTTGCAATACTTAATCTATTACCTTAGTGGATTTTTAGCCATAGAGGGATAGAGTCTCTATTTTATTTTATTTTTTATTTTAAAAAGAAATAATCTATTACCTCAATATTTCTAAAGAATCGAAGGAAAAAGTAACTCAGTTTTATTTATAAACGAATCTTCACCATCTATTTATAAAGTAACATCACTCAAGATATTGTCAATACATCAACCCATAAGAAATTCTTTACATCCAATCAGAACGCGAATACCATAAATATATATCTTAGACACTACGTTTTAAAACTCAAACGTTGATAATGAAAACATTTAAATTGAAAAATTGAAACTTAAAGAAGTTTTGAAACAATCTTTACGAAGGATTTCAAGAATAGAAAATTTTTTAGTACAAGATCGACATTCTTACCTAATCTCTTATATTATAACTGTAAATTTATTTTATTTATATAATCTTTTATTATATTTTATATCAAAAACAACTGCATGCAAAATTATTGAGAATATATTACAACCATATGAATATGCAATAAAAAACTAAATCTGGTTAGTTATGCATAAAAAGATTTCTCAAGTGAAATACTATTATTATTTTGATAAAAATATTATACAACATATTAATAACTTCAATTAAAGTTCATCTTTATTAAGGAAAAATAAACATTACAGAATCAACACAAGCATCTTAGAAGAAAACCAAAACATCATAGAAGAGCTTATATCAATCAATAGTAATAGTCCTTGAACTCACAGTATTTTCTTCTTCAAGTGTTATGATACTCTCTATAGGGTCGAACTGAAAGACCAAGAGAGAATGTCATGTGTTTCTGCGAGTTCACCAGTTGCACCGGAGAAACCAACAAGGACCCAGTCCGACAGAACCGCCGCAAAATCGACCAGATAAGATACAGCAACACCCACTTCAACTGGACTATTTGGATAAGTTACAGCTGCCCTCAGTTCTTGTGTGGCGGAATTATAACTTATATGTGCCTTTCCTATCGATCCTTGCGGTTGTCTATCGATTGGCCATGGAACAGTGATTGAAGACTCAATCGTGTTGATGTCGATTCCAATATGAGGTGAGTGCTGAGGAGGATCCCATTCATTGGTAAAACTGTCAAACTCGACAGCAACTATAGAGTTTAATGAGGCGTTGAAGGCGGTTTCCTTATTGAATAGTCCAAGGAATCCACCCTCTGATGATGAATTGTCCGGGAACTCAAAACCAAGTGATGCAATAAAGAAAGTAAAACCGTCTCCATGAAGTTGTGAACCCTTTGGATCCACAACAAAAGAAAACTCAGTGGTAAAGTCAGCAACTTTACCACTTGTTTTATCAGAGAGACGAATAGCTTCAGAGAATGCGGAGAGGCCAAAACTATGTGGAGATGGTTTTCCGAGTTGGTCCTTTTTAGTAAGCTGTAGTACTCCACCAATTATTTTGGCATCACCATCGATGGCTATGTTTTTGGAATGGTTGTTAAACTCTGGCAAGCTGAAAGAAAATGATTCTGACTTGACATTTGTGATTAACAAGAGAAAGGTCATAAGAAAAAGAGAGAAGATGGTTTGTGTTGCAAGAAATTGTGCTTTGAAGTTGGCCATTGTAGTAATTGCTGTGAATGATGCATTGAGCATGGGTTTAATCCATCTATATATAGGCTATGAGCTTTGATTTTTGAAAGATATGTTGTTGGAAATAATTACCGATATTGATCAAATTAATGAAACTAAATTGCATTATTTCAGTTTAGTTAAGTTGGTTTAATTATAGCTGTAGAGAATCAATTGGACTAGCTTAACCGGCCGGGTAATTTGTCTTTATAGCACAGACAGTTGGTTGATGTTTTCAATACATAAATAAACGGTGATATTTTAGAGTACACAAGTAGAGTAATAAGTTTTAAATAGACCAAGGAAACAAAACCTTCTATAGTTTTTATCGACATTAATATTTTACTCTATAAAATTATAAATAAAAATTAAAACATAAAATGAGGATTACATTTCTTAATATATCTATTTATTATAATATATTAATTTTGAAACATAAATTATTTAATTGAATTCATCATCTCTCAAATCATTTGATTGACAATTCATCACCTCTCACGTCACACTAATTAAAATATGATGTGATATTTTTCAAAGTTTATCAATGTAAATTTTTTAACATTTTAATATTGTTTAAAATAAAATGGTTAAATAATACTTTCAAATTTAATTTATAATTTTACAATACATAAACTAATGCCTTTCTAAGATATAATTCTTAGAATTTTTTTTTGGAATAACAATAACCATGTTTCGGAGAAAATTATGCAAATAAAGATGTTTCAGAAAACTCTCCAAGGGAGGAGCCATCCCACTTGGCGCCTACACCTTATTTTAAAGGGGAGGCGTCATCTCACTTGGCGCCTAGGTGTTAAAAGTTTGCCCTAAGCCAAGTGAGATGGCGCCTTAGTGCAATTGAGACGCAATTTTTTGAGTTTTTTTATTTTAAATGCGGTGTGTTACGTATTCGATATAGGATCAACAAAATTGACTTTTTATTTACAAAATATGATTACACACATAACGATTATATAAAAAAAAATACAGATAAATCAGTGGTCCTCCAAAACCCGGTAATGACCCCTGGTTCCGCATCCCCGTCCTCACCTTTCCCGTGCTGGGTTTCGTCGCGTTTCCTGTTGTGGCAGGATCGATGGCCCAACAAAGTCAATGTGTTCCGGATCCATAAAATCGGTCAGATCTCCATATCTAAAAGACCCGCTTTGGTACAGTCGGTTGCCCATACCCTCAAAGTTTGGTCGTGTTGGTGGTGGGTGGGGTTCCATGGTTGGTTTGTAGCACTGGTCGTCTGAGTACGGGGGGTAGAAGGGAAATGGATTTTGGGGTGTTTGGTATTGAGGATGTTGGGTGCTTTGGTGATGTTGTAGTTGATGGTAAGTTGAGTCGGTTGGTTCATAATCTTCAGACAATCCCAAATCAGGGCTAAGGTTGAATGTTGAGGGGCCCATATTGGGATATGCAGAAGACTGAAATTGTGTGTGGGGTATGCGGGTGTATTGGTATTGTGATTGAAATTATGGTTGAGTGTGAGGCATATGGGGGTATTGATACTGAGGTGGTGATTGTGGTTGGTTGTGGGGCATGTGGGTGTAATTGTATTGTGGTGGTGACTGTGGTTGGGTGTTTGTGGTTCTGTTTCGTCGGGGGGGTTGGTGGAAGGTTGATGTATGTTGGGTTTGTTGTTGGGGAAATGAGGGTTGTGCCCATTGTGTTCGTGGGTCAACCAAATACCTTGGATGAGACACGTGCATTTGAGGGGTACTAACCGATCTGTACCAAGATAAATACTGATCCGCGTGTCGCATATTACCATGGTTGAGGGAAACTGGGAATTGCAAGACATGTCGGTGACGCTTCTGCCACATCTTACACCATTCTGGAGCAAAATATTTCCAGTTGGTAAGACCCCATTGGGCGTCGACCCTTTTGAGATGCCACGTGGACAAACAAGTCGGATCGTCGGGTATCTCTTGTTATGGTCGTTACACTGCAATCATTCCAAACTGCATCCTTACACGTTCGTTATGGTGCATCTCCACAACATTGAACCGTATGATTGCAGTCTTTGCGCTCCAAATTGCTGCATCCTCGGGGTTTGGTTCATGGTCCAAACCCAAATATGGTCTTCAGACAAACTGCGGATAAAATTAAATCAGGTTAATGAAAACGTAATAAATAAATAATTTAAAAGTAGAAAAGTTGAAAGGTATGACGTACATCATCTGGGCCAAGGTGATCCAATAGATTGCGGTATAGAGTGACATTGAATCTTGGATTATTTCTGTAATCCATACCCTTCACGCAATACCTAAAGGAATTGAAAAATATTATATTTTTATCATATATTTGGTGAAGAGATTGCGTATGGGAAAACGAATGTGTTGTTATTGACGGGGTTTAAGGACTCCATCCTCCACCAACCCCAGGCTTGAAGTAAAAAAGCGCAGCCATAAAATGTACATTTTTCCTTGATTGCATTTTTACACAAGGAACTGTATAGATGGGCTAAAACAGCAGAACCCCAACTATACTTTCTAGTTTTTTCGAAGTCTCTAAGTAAATTTAAATACATAAAATTTACACTATTTCCCATACTTTCGGGAAATAAAAAGGTTCCAAATAGTATCATTATATAATTTCTAGCTTTTATTACCTTAGCTAGCTCAGAGGAATTTTTGTTCAATTCCAGAGTCGCATAATGATTTTTTAGCTCAGTAAGTAGTATACCCTGACCTCTCGCACCACCACCTTCAACCATATCTCTGCCCAACAATTCTTCACACGGAGAATTGGGTTGTTAAACCGACCCGTTAACCGCCTTACCGTCGACAGGGAGACCCAATAACATATACACGTCCTCTAGTGTGACAGTACATTCACCTATTGGTAGATGAGATGTATGGGTCTCTGGTCCCCACCTTTCCAACATTGCAAGTATGAACTTTGAATCAATCGTGCAGTTGGAGATCTTTATAACGTTTCTGAAACCTATGTATTCGAGATAGGGTACGATCAATGGGTCTGGAGCAAGGTAGTTGTGTGAGCGGATTCTGAATCTTTTAGTATCCTAAGTTAATAATGTAAAAAGTGTAAGAGTAGGTAAGATGAATAAAGCATTACTAGAAGTGTGAAAAATGTATAAGTATAAAAGAAACTTACAAACGCTGCAATGTTGTCCCTTGTGCCTCTGAGAATCGCCCATTGTGAGAAGAGCCATTGTTGAAAATGTCTGAGATTATGAAAGAGTTTGAAATTGTAAGAGATTATGAAAGAGTTTGTAGCAGAGAGTGAGACGATTGTGGATGCGATAGAAGTATGTGAGGCTCTGTATTTATAGGAAATTTTTTATCATAGAGTAAGTGAGGTGGTAGGTGGGTGCATGCATGCATGATAAGTGTCACTCTTTCAGTGTAGATGCAGGCTAGGTGACAGCGTTGGGGAAGGCATCTATGCATGCATGTAACACGATTGGACGTGAAGGGAGGCGCCATTGGACTTGGAGAAAGAGTACAAAAATGAAAGGTGTCGCCATCCCTGTTGGCGAATAAGAGGTGGCATGAGTTGCAGTGTAGGTGCAGGCTAGGTGACGGCCTTGGAGAAGACATCTCTGCATGCATGTAACACGATTGGACGTGAAGGGAGGCGCCATTGGACTTGGCGAAAGAGTACAAATGAAAGGTGTCGCCATCCCTGTTGGCGAATAAGAGGTGACATGGGTTGCAGTGTAAGTGCAGGCTAGGTGACAGCCTTGGAGAAGGCATCTCTGAATGCATGTAACACGATTGGACGTGAAGGGAGGCGCCGTTGGACTTGGCGAAAGAGTACAAAAATGAAAGGTGTCGCCACCCCTGTTGGCGAATAAGAGGTGGCATAGGTTGTAGTGTAGGCGCAGACTAGGTGACAGCCTTGGAGAAGGCATCTCTGAATGCATGTAACATGATTGGACGTGATGGGAGGCTCCTTAGAGGTTGTAGTGTAGGTGCAAGCTAGGTGACATCCTTGGAGAGTGCTTACTGTTGGTTTATTCAAATTCAGTACAACCTATTTAATCATACATTTATCAAAACACTCATACACTTAATCTCTCAAACACTAGAACATTCAAAAATTCCAGCAATTAACTCATAAACTTCAAACCTTCAAACCTTCAAACAGTCATACACAATGGCCTCTGCAACCCAATATGTGATCAATGCACATTTCAACAGTGAGACATACATTTGTTCCACCTCTGGGTATTTGTTTAGAGACACTGAGAACATCTGATTTTGTTTAAACAGGAAAGCCAATTTCTTGTACTTCAACAAATGATTGGAGACCAAACTTGGACGAGGTCCCGTGACAAATATTTTATTAGAATCCGGTTTTTTTTGTAACAACCAAATAATATTTTATAAGGTTGAGGTTCAAGATGAAGAGGACCTACAGAATATGTTTTCCAGTCATGAGTATTCTGGGTATGACTCTATTGAGTTATACATTATGCTGCGAGAGCCTCAGCTGTCACAAGTGGTTGATCCTCTGGAGACCTAACAAGAAGAAGTAGATGTTGTTGATGAAGAAGAAGAAAATGACGATTTGGAGTTTGACGACATGGTCAACGATGCTTCCGAAGACGATGGGATACCTGGTATTCCTTCAAACGAGATCTACACACCACCTCCGCACATGACAAACTTCAACATGGGTGGAGATGAACCGTCTTCTGATTTATTTTTCAATCCGTATATGCAGTCGGATGAAAACTTAAAAGAGAAAGACAAATTTCGTAACAGAGAAGAATGTATCAGAGCCATCAGAAAATTTCACATGCTTAACTCGGTCGATTTTAAGGTGGACCGTGTAAATCCAGAAAGGTACAATATCAAGTGTGTCCACCCAGATTGTATGTTCAAGCTCACTGCATCATACATATTAAGAGGTGATTGTTGGGTCATAGGTTCTATGTCTACCCACACGTGTGTCAGTTCCACTCAATCACAGGATCATCAGAAACTAAATTATGATCTCATTTGTCAAGAAATCCTACC